GTACTTAAGAAGTATTTGTATTTCATGAATTATATTACTGCATTTGGGGAAAAGGTTTGTGCAGCCTTGATATATATGTATATAAACTGAAACAACTGGACTGCATCCTAAATTTAACATAAATTAATTATTTTTAATACAATATAGTCTTTTCTGCAGTTTTATAGGGAGGTCACCTCCTGATAAATGTCCTTACAGAAAATCTAACTGCTCATTTTAAATCAAAACTTTTACTTTTAATACTTAATTACAAAACATACCAGATACTTTAGGACTTTTACTCAAGTAATATTCCTAAAGGAGTCTTTAACTTTTACCAAAGTAGTTTTTTTGGTAAGATACTTGTACTTTAAGTCAAGTATCACTTTGGAATACTTTATACAACAGTGACTTTTACCAATTTTATGGTAAGGTGTGGTACTTTATACAACACTGAAAAAAACAACCTAAGAAAACAATCATGCGGGTTAAAGGGGAACTGACCTGCATTAGTGTTGTTGAAGCCCAGCACAGAGTGGTAGAACACCAGCAGGTAGGTGAACCACATGGAAGCACACAGGTCATTCAGGAAGTGGCCCGAGGCGTAGCTGAGCTTCCTGAAGGGTCGCAGGGACCTCTCTCTGTCCGACATGATGACCGCTGGTAGTTCAAACACTCTCAACTATCAGTCCAGTCCCAGCAGCTAAACCGATCACAGCTGAGACAAACCACACAAACTAAAAGCCAGTTTCGGTTCCCTTCTCGAACAGAAACCTTACTTATCCTCAGCTCGTTTCCTAAATGTGCCGTCTCAGCAAGAGGTAGAGCTAAAAGTTAATTTAATCCATCTTTGACCCCATTTCCTCGTAAAAAAAAAAAAAATCAGCTGACAGTGAGTGACCAGGAGGAAGAGCCGAGTAGATGAATAAGCGAGAGGAAGCCGGTGAACCAGTCAGAGCAGCGTGTTTTCCTTCACCCCATTGTTCCTACACTTACATGAACACAGGAGGCGCGTGGCTTTCGTGAATATTAATGTAACGCAAACATTTACGGAACTAAAAATGAAATTCGAAGAATCAGGAAAACCAATATTCAAATGTGACCTCAAGGCTAGACAAACATTCATCGACTGTCTGCTGTTTGGACATGTCGTACAACAACAACAACAACACGGTCCGCGTATGAAACGTTTACAGATTAATAATGTAAGCTATTAATTTTCATAAGCTAGCGGTGGCGTTCTCTCAGGGTAAAACGCTACAAGCTTCCACACAGATGTAAACAAACCGGACCGGTAACTGACCGCCAGCTTCCTCAGTGGAACTTCATCACGTGACAGCAGTGTCACGAGCGTCACTGCCAACGAGGTTCAAGCGTCATGTGGCGATGCGCCGTCAGTTCATCTGCGCATGCGCCGCCTCTGCCCTGACTGTTCTGGTGTAAATGTTTTTTAATGGTGTGAATTCACACAATTGAGATCCTTTTTTCTTCCGTACGTTTTTCTGCACCTTCCTCGTTCCACAATTTTTGTGCTACTTCAACCATTCGTGTATCAAAACGTTCAGCTCTTTCGTGCAATGCCTGCTGTGACTTTTGGTATTTCGGCTATTTAAACTATTTTAGCTATTTCAACTTTTTAGCCACTTTTTCCCCATTGACTTTGAATAGGGCTATTTTCAACAACCTTAAAATCCTTCAAATAGTTTCTAAATCTTTACAAAACCTTACACAATTTGTTCTGGTTATGCTCTGTTTTACTCTCTTGTGCAAATTTTAGCAACTACTTTTTGTAAATTTTAGGTTTTTTTTCTGCTATATTAGCTAAAATTCTACTTCCTTCTGCTTTTTCTGCTTTGTAATACTTTTTTCAGCTAATTTGTGCTATTTATGCTTCTTACAGTTGCTTTCTGCAATATTCAGCTATTTGCAACAAATTTAGCTAAATTTTAGCTGTTATTAGCCAAAGTTAGCTTTCTAAGCTAATTTCACATTTTTTGGAGCTATTTCAGCTTACATCTGCTAAATTCAGCAAACGTATGCTCCTTATGCTAATTAAAATGTTTCCATCTACTTTTTAGCTGTTTTACTTCAAACTTCAGCTGTTTTACCTATTATACTTCAAATGACCACTTTTTAGTAGTTTTATGGTGTTTTTTCTGCTGATTTTGAATTTTTTACAACCATTTCACCATCTGGGTTCTACTCTTAACTTGAGTCTGCTATCTTAAGCTTATTTCTATGCTAACTTTAGCTGTTTTACTGCTATTGTAACTAAAATTCTACTTCTTTCTGCTTTTTTTGCTTTGTTATACCTTTTCTGCTAATTTGTGCTATTTATGCTTCTTACAGTTGCTTTCTGCAATATTCAGCTATTTGCTGCAATTTTAGCTGTTATTAGCTAAAATTAGTTCAAATTACTTGAATTTGGCCAATTTTTGATATAATGAGCTATAAATCAAAAATATATGTACCTGAGCTTTAGCTCTAACATAAATAGCAGCTGAAAAAAATCCAAGATGGCCGCCAAAGCTATTTTTAAAGGCCTTTTACTCAGCCACTGTTTGAGATATTGACATGAAAACTTATTTACTGGTAGCTGAGAGCAAGCTCTATCACATTTTGAAGCCTCAAAAAAATTCAACAGTTGCAGCCAAAGCTTTTTCAGTTACTTTTTTCCCATTGGAAATGAATGGAGCTTTTTTCAACATCCTTAAATTTAGCTTCTTTTTTTTTTTTACTAGTTTTAGCTTTTTTCAGATATTTCAACAAAATTTCTTCTTCTACTATTCTGCTTTTTTTCCCCTTTTTTTGTTCTTCTTTCTACTAATTTGAGTTATTTATGCTTCTTACAGTTGCTTTCTGCTCAGCTATTTTAGCCTTTACCTTTTAATGCTAATTCAGCTATATTTTTGCTCCTTTTTACTGTTTTTAGGCTTTTTGTTTGCTTCTTTCAGCTTTTCAAGCTTGACTTACAAAAATACTCTTGATATTATACATGTTCAGCTCAATTTCAGCTTCTTCGGCAGCTTTCAACTTAAGTTTTCAGCAACAGGCATTCACACTTGCATTTTCGCAGGAAATGCAATTTCTCTAGTTTTATTTACCATTTATTCTACAAGACAAGACAACAAAACCAGGTTCTTATATAGTGTTGGCCTGAAGCTGTCCAAGAAGTTCATAACTCATCCTTCACAATAAAAGCCTGAAACACATATCCAGATTAGTACACATCTGTAACTTCTGTTACCGATTTTAGTTTTTATGCACTCACAGTGGAATAATGGCCTGAAGACCTCAGACTTAAGTCTAATCTGATTTTATTTAAATCCTAATTTATTTTATTTGCTTTTGTTTAAAAATTGCACTTAAATTGTTTGTATTGCTTTTAATTACTTTTGTTTTAATGTTTCTTGGTGTGCATGTGTGTGTATAGGTAGTTTTGCCTTGTTCGTGTTAACTTGTTTTTATTTTATAAAGAACCTTAAGTTGCCTTCTGGTGTGAAATGTACTGTTCAAATAAACTTGCCTTGTCTTATGAGAATAACTCACATTATTCATCTCCATGTTCTACAGCTCATCTTTGGTTGGGTTGCAAAGGCAACAGGTCCTGGAGCAAAACCCAGACATCCCCTCAGTGACATTCCCCAGCTTCTTCTGGGGGACCCCAAGGTGTCCCCAGGTCAGTGAACAGTCTCTCCTATGAGTTCTGGGTCTGCCCTAGGACCTCTTAAAAGTGGAATGTGCTTGGAAAACCTCCAAAAGGAGGCGTCGTAATCAGATGCCCGAACCACCTCAACTGACGTCTTTCAATACAAATAAGAATTCAGTTCAATTCAAAAATACTTTATTGATCCCAGAGAAATTGGGTGTTGTTGTAACTCAGAGTTATTGTAGATGCTGATGGCTGTGGGCAGGAAAGATCTTCTGTAGTGGTCTGTATTACAACCAAACTGAAGAAGCCTCCGACTGAAGACACTTTGTCTTTCTATGACAGTCTGATGAAGAGGATGGTCAGGGTTGTCCACAATGTTCTTGATTTTATGTAAAATCCTTCTTTGCACCATCATCTCCAGAGATTCCACTGTCGTCCCCAGAACAGAACCAGCCTTCTTCATCAGGTTGTTTAGCCTGTTCAGGGTGATTCCAGCCACCCCACGAAGGAAGCTCATTTTGGCCGATTGTATCCTGGATGCCATTCCAAATACCGAAGCAATGCCCTCGTTACCGAGGACGAGGCCCCAATCCATTGATCCATCTCAAAGACACCCCACCCCCTACCACCACCTTGGACTGTTTCAGTTAAAATATTTCATGTTTTTCTATAGAGAACTGAGTAACTCATGTACCAAAATGTATTTAACCATTTGTTCTTTGTGACAACCATTTCCTGAAAAGTGAATGAAAATCTGTTTATAATTTTTAGAGTGATCTTGTACAAACAGAAGACCCTATGGTCACTCAAATAGGTGATCCAGATCAATAGCAAAATCTGTTTGTAACAACCTGAACAGTTTCTGAAAATTTCATGAAAATCTATTTTTATAACATTTGAGTGACGTTGTGCAGACAGACAGGCCAATGCTACCCTCTTTTAAGTGGCCCTGTCATACCTACTGTATTCACAGTTCTAGCCTTGCTGTACTTTGCTTAACACTTCAAGCCTAACTGTTGTTGTGGTCAAAACTATTTATTCGTTAGCAAAATATATCATGCACCGCTGGACAGATTTTTTTAATGAAACTTTCATAAGGTAATCATTGGATGTACATATAAACACTGACCAAGACATGGAGTCATTCCACATCAACCTCCTCCTTCAGAAACACAAAAATGACGCAGATTTTACAAATTTTAAGCTAATGTTTGGAGCGGGAGTAGCAGCAATATGCCTTCCTTTGAGGAATGCCATGTTTTATTAAACAAACTTTTGTTAAATTTCTAGTAAATGTGAATAGTGAGAAAAAAATCAATAATTCACCAATAATAATAATAATAATAAACTAAATTTGTTAAGGGTTCTAAACATGTTATAGATCAACTATTGTTGAATTAACACTTGCCTTTTTTACACATCAGTCACTTAAATAAAAGATCACTTTCTTTTGTTTGTGTTTAATGCCATTATGTTCCTATCCGAAGACAGAGGAAAAAAACAAAGCAAAAAAAAAAGTAAAAGTTGCTTAAAAATACATATGATGAACACAAATTACAAAAACCTTCTGAACTGAAAGGAAAAAAATGATTTAAAACTGAACAGTCTGTTACAAATTAGAATGAGGGTAAAGTCTAGATTTTACATACACATCTTTTAAAATTCTTTAATTCTGCTTGTGAGGGATTCCTTCTGAGGGTGAATGAGAAAATAGAGGCTTCTTTAAAACCAGACCACTAAGGAAATTTAAAACTTTTTAGGTAAAGTGAAAAAAAAAAACATCTCCATGTCCAGGGAGACTTCATATGAAGAACTCGATGGAAGTGTGCAAAGTGTGTTGTGTTCTGTTTGCAAAGACAGTCTTCATTGTGTCCCTTGCTTTTGTAAATCCTCTCTCTTGTCTGAGCCAGTCAGTAAAGAAGAACAAAAACCAACAACAACAAAAATTAACATAAAATAAAACAAGTCAGTTTGCCAGTAAAGCAACAGAGTCCAAGCTGTTTTTACAGCCATGGTCATTGTGTTGATTTGTCTTCATTCAGGTCTATGGATGTAAAAAAACACTGAGAATCCACCAGTTCAGCCAGTCCAAGTTTTAAACTCTGAGGTGAAAATTGTTCTCTGTCCCTTCAGTCCAGAGCCGTAAACGGCAGAAGATCAGCTGACTGATTCCATCAGCACAGGTTACGGGATAAGTTTATGGAAAACTGCGAGAGAAAAGGGGGGTGACTTCTTCCTCCTATTTGTGTCTCTGCAGAGCTTTCCTCTTTCTTCTTTTAAAAAAACAGCAGCACCTGTAAAACACAAGTGGTCACTTTAATGACACCCAAAAGAATTGTTTTGCTTTGTGAACAGACACCCAAAAATTAGGTCCCACAATTATTTTTGAGCTTGTGTTGATCAGAATATTTCCTCTAAAGAAAATGGTAAAACATCTCATTTTCTTCCAACACTCTTTGCTGACCATTGCAGACGCTGCTGATCATTAACTGCATTAACTTACAGTTTGAATTTATTTTTTTGGAAAATAGGGGCAGATACTAGATTTTTTCTTCTTTCTGCTGCCTTTCATTTAATTTGAGATTTGTATTTTTCGTTGTACACAGAATTTCTTTTGTTTTTAAACGAAATGAAAAAATAAATAGCTTTTAGTATTTTAAAACTTTTACACTTGTTTATTAACAAAAAAAAATCCTCAAAGACAGTAAGATCTGTTCAATTCCTTCAAAAATGTTCTCTTTAAAATCTGCTTTAGAATAATTGCTCCAATTTTTTCTTTTTAAGCCACTCTTAATATTTAGCTAACATTTTTAGGCAACATTAAAAGGTGAAGGCACTTCATTTGAGCATATGCAGTAAGACAGTTTCTTTCTTTTTCTCTTTTTGGTTGTTGTTTTCATTTGTTTTGTATTCTTTTTCCGCTTGCGGAATCGTTTACTTGATTTTATCTTACTGTATTTTTTTCTGTTGTGCAGCACTTTGGTTGCTGTTGGCTGTGTAAAGTGCTATACAAATAAAGCTTTAATTGATTGACTGACTGATTGATTGACTGATTTGATTGACTGATTTGATTAATTGGATTGATTGACTGATTGATTTGTCATCAATTCATGCTCCCATGCTAGGATGAAGCTCTGCATTCGACCCATCACACGTGAGAAACACTCACGTGGAGCAGCGGGCAGCTATGTGAGTGGAGGTTGTGTATCTTGTTCAAGGATACCACGACATGTGGGCATGGCCGGGAGTCGGACCTGTGACTTTCTGGTCCAAAGTCGGTTGTTCTGCCACTGCACCACAGCTGCCCATTGGGCTGTTTAGCTGCTTTTCCATTCAGTTTAGCATTTAGCTGCTGTTTAGCTACATTTAGCTTTTAGTTGTTTTGTTACATTAACATTTAGCAACATTTTTGCCAATTGTAGCTTTTAGCAACTGTTTTAGATTTTAGTTTCCATTTTACTGGGTTTAGCTTTTAGCTATTATTCTGCTACATTTAGCTTTTAGCTGTTGTTTTGTAAATTAGAGTTTATATAGTTTAGCCAGTTTTAACTAATTTTTTATTTTTATTTTTTACCAAAGGTTTTAGCTAAAATAAACACCAACATATATCACGTGTGTCTAACTCAAGGTCCGCGGGCCACATGACTCCCATCTGGCCCATTTAGGGTTCCTACAGCTTAAGGCAAGTTAAATTTAAGACTTTTTAAGACCTCTTTAATGCCACTTGAAATGAAATTTAAAGACAAACTTCACAATAAACACAAATGTAAAAACAGCAACAATTTTAGCCAAATGTTTATTTTAACACAAAACAACTAGCTGCGAGTGGCATTCTGTAAATTATAAAAAATAAACAAATGATACCATTATTTTAATATTTGAGAAGAACTACAATCATCTTACTTACAATAAGTTAACACTTTTAAGACACTTTAAGACTAATTAAAGCCTTATTTTTGAATTGATGAATTATATGACTTAATACTTTAAGGATCCACAGGAACCTTGGTTATCTACATCAGTGTTTCCCAAAGTTGGGGTCGTGACCCAAAGTGGGGTCCCAAAACTTCAAGGTGGGGTCCTGAAAATATTTTCTGAATTAATTACATTTTTGCCTTAGTTGTTACAAAGGAGTGAGGTTAGTATATTTAAAATGGGTAAATGTAATATAAAAATATTGTTACTATGCCCATGTTTTGTTGACCTGATACAAATGTTTATCATACAAAAATAGTTGGGGACACAGGTCTCTGCTACAGTTATTTTGTGGGTCAAAAGCTGAAAACTTTGGGAACCACTGCACTTTGGTTCCCAAAGTTGGGCTTGGGACCCAATTATGGGTCATGAAGCACCTTGGATAATCTCCAGAAATCAATTTAAAGGGTAATAAAATAATTGCTGTTGTAATATTTTTCCTATAATTATTTACAAAAACACAAAATAAGTAAAAGTAAGTATTTATATGTGTGTAAAAGCTGTTTAGATTGTCAAAAAGCCTGTGTTTTTAGGTTATTAACGGAGTTCATGTACTCAGACCAGTAATATTTGGGGTCACAAGTTTTTGTCATGGATATTTTGTGGGTCAGAAGACAAAAAGTTTGGGAACCTCTGATCTACATTATACTATGTGCAATTATTTACAAGTGGTATTTAAAAAATAATAATGCAGAATTCTTTATAGCTTTAAAATGTAAAAAATTGCCAGGAAAGGCAAATAATTATGTGATTTGTGAGTGTGTTCTTACTTGATTTCACCAGCAACTTCCACCTCTGCATTGGCTGTAATTGGTGCATTGGAGTGTCCAGCAGTGGGGTCATCTGTGTTCAACTCTCCATTGTTTGAACTCATTCCCTGTGGAGCAGAAAAGTCTGAGCAAACAGTCTATGTCCTACATTAGAAGGACAATCAAATGAAAGAAAGCATGCATGGTCCACAAAGTCTGAAACAGGTCATTATTACCTGCCACACACAGACAAAAGGCAGGGAAATAATGTCTTTACCTATGTCTGTCTGTTAGCAAAATATCTCATGTATCAATATACAGATTTTGGCAGCACAACGGCTCAGTGGTTAGCACCGACGCCTCACAGCAAGAAGGTCCTGGGTTCGATCCCCGGTTCGGACCTGGGGTCTTTCTGTGTGGAGTTTGCATGTTCTCCTCGTGCTTGCGTGGGTTTTCTCCGGGTGCTCCGGTTTCCCCCACCCCTAAAAACATGTATAATAGGTTGCCTTTAGGCCCAGGCCTCCCTTGAAAAAGAGATCTGAGACCTCAACGGGACTTGCCTGGTTAAATAACGGTAAATAATAATAAAAAAAATAATATAAAGATTTTATTAAAACTTGAAGAAAGTAATCACCTTGTACACCTACAGCAGAGCAGCTGTTTTTATGTACTACCGTATGTGGTGCTAATATTAACAGACTAATTACTTGTATATGATTATTAAGATCAGAATGATGATGTGTACCTGGTTTTTGGTCTGTGGTACTTTGTCTCTGTTGCCTGTTTGAAGTGGGGTCTCTGTAGTCACTGGACCAATAGGAGTAGGCTGAATAGGATAAACCAGAGAAAAAAAGGTTAGGCAGGGGCTAGATTTCTTTTCTTGATGCTTTTGGTCAAAGAGACAGCTGCTGACATGTCAGTCTAAAGCTTCAGGTGAGTTTCTGTGCACACCTAGAGTCACACAGAAGAGCTTCAAAGGTGATTCAAACTGAGAACTGGACTCAGATCCATCTGCTGCTGCAAAGAGAGTTCTAATCATTTATTTTTATTATTATTATTATTATTATTATTATTATTATTATTATAAATCATAGTAAATTATTATTCAACAATTATTCAACTATAACATTAAGATGTAACCAGGCAGTCAAAAATGCACATATTTATTACTATTAAAACTGAAGGTGAACCGTGCAGATTTATGTACCGTACACCCCTGCTTTGGCCCACCTGATTTAAATGAATGAGTAATTAGCAGGCTTTCAGCAGAACTTAAGACCTACTAAAGAGCAGGGAAATAAAAACATGCACGATAGGGGTCCTTGAGGACGAGGATTGAGAACAAGAGTTCCCACACCTTGGTCAACATCAAATTCAAGGACCTTTCAAGGACTTTCCAGTACCAATTTCCTCAAATTCAAGAACCACGTGTGACAGCAATTATCTACTACTACCGCAGAATGTTACCAATAAACAGGTTTAATATCATGTAAATTCAATTAAAATGGAACAACACAGAAGAAAGTGGATCAAATGTTTAACCTACATTCATATCCACAACACACAGAAGTGTAATTATGTCCTGGGAGGTTCAGCAGCTCAGTTTGGGAGGAGGGGATGTGAACATGTCCAGATGCTTGGTGAGGACAAGAGGAGCTGTGATGCTCTCACCTGGGCTCAGAAAGAACGACCCGCCCTTCTCTGTTCTGATTGGGTAAAACTATGACTATGGCTCACGTTATTTGTTGAAAACCACGTCAGTTTACCAAAATCCCAAGTTATCCATGCAACAAATGTAAGTTATTTATTTATTTAATTAATTAATTTATTTATTTATGTTTACAGATGATGAGTGAATAGAGAACTTCAATCCCCAAAAAATATTCAAGGACTTTCAAGGACAAGTATAATTTTTGGCTGTTTTCACAAACTTTCCAGGGCCTTGAAATCATTTTCAAATTCACAAACTTTCAATGATTTCAAGGACCCGTGGGAACACTGTGAGAACCACTGGTCTAAGACAAGTCATAGACTGGCCCTGAATTCAACATTAAATTTTAGATTAAAAAAGTCAGGGAAGGTTAGGGTGTGCAGTGCGGGTTGAACGGGTGCAGAGTTGGTTAGAGTTTGAACATGTCCAGATGCTGCTGCCATCGACTGCTGCTCGCTCAGCTGCAGACTGATTGATCTGTGCTTTCACTTGAACTCAGAAAGAACAACCTGCCCTGCCCTGCTCTGGTCTGACTGGTTAAAACTGTGGCTCTGGTTTGCTTCATTTGCTGAAAGCCACATAAATTTAATCCTGCATCGTCATTAGATTGGACGGAATTAACAAGACAGCAACAAAAAACACCTCAAATTTACAGATGATGGAAATCCATCGTGTCGACAGAAAACTTTAATCCATTAATTTCAACACCCAAAACACATTAAAGGATGGATGTCTTTTATAGATGTTTTTAAAGACTTTCCAGGGCCTTGAACATATTTTTCCAAATTCACAAACTTTCAAGGATTTCAAGGACTTGTGGAAACTTTGGCCATTGCATATCACCGTGCTTCTAACTGAAAAGTAATTTGCTTCTAACTTTCTGTCAATCTAAACAAGACAGAATTGGTTCTTTTCAGGAAGGCTTACTCACATCCAAAGTTGGAGGGAATAGAGCTCTCCTTGTTATGGTTGGCTAAGATTTTGGGTGTCTATCTAGACTGGAAGTTGAACTGGAAGAGATATGTGAATGAAATATGTAAGAAGGCAGTAATGTGCCTACACCAGTGCCGTAGAACTGCAGGTAGTCTTTGAGGTGCTACCCCAAAGGTTATCAGAAGGATCTACATGACCATATTCTTCCCCGCTATGCTGCTTTAGTATGGTGGGTCTGAATTCAAGTTGAGGTATGTGGTATTTGAATTTAATAAGTTTATTTGTAATGGAAAACTAAGTGTTCTACTCCAAGCATTCAGTTCCTCTGTGCAAAATAAGTTGCCAGTCAATAGCACGACAACCTGAGCTTTTACTATGTGGTAGATAACTGATTGAATTGTGATTTAATCAAGGGGACAATGTAAGCTTGGACAATGCAAAGACGAGATGGCTAAAATAACTGTTTAGCTTGTGTCATGAGGCAAAGATAGAACTGATTTTCACTTACAGGGACTGATTTTCCAGAGTGTTCAACATTATTTTGTATTTGGCATTATGTGACTTGTGGGTGGGTTTAGAAAACAGTTAAAAGACTGTGTGAAGCTTGGATTGTTCAAAGCAGTACAAAGAATGCTTGATATAGGACGTATTGCTCTCCATACTGCAGCAAGCAATAAAATCTCAGGATTCAGAAGAACTGTGTCAGCCCTCTTTGTTAAAAGGTTTTCCATTTCAGGGTGGCAAGAGTGATACTCACCCATTTGCAACATGTGGCCTGCATAAGCATCACAGATTTCATTAGAACATGGGCCAAATGTGGCCCACAGGAGACTTTTGTACCCCCACCCCAAAAGATATATATTTTTTACTCAATTTAATATGAAAGTTATTTTTATAATCAATGGTAAACTTTAAATTTATGATTCAGTGCAATAAAATAAACAAATTAAAAAAGGTTAAAGATAATATTACCTGTCCGTCCCCTGATTTGTTGGCTTTAAGTAACTCTGGGCCCCAGATCAATTTTGTTGAATATCTCTGTATTAATGTCTCAAAATAAGCTGATTTAAAGCCAGCATTGACCATAAACTACATCTTCCATAATGTATGTTGATAATGCATGGGAATCCCTTGTCGGAAAGTGGGAGAGTTCAGAATTCAAGATGGCAGCTACTAACAACTCATAAGTAAAATTTGCTTACTTTTCCTTTTAACAGTATCTTTGTATTATTTATTTCATATTTAGTCAGTTGTGCACATAGTACTTTTCAGTGTTTAAAGAAGGATGTGCTTCAAAGCTGCTTCTATGTAGGAGCTATCATGTACAGCCCAGTTTTTGTTTGTTAATGGTGCTCAGTCATACTGTAGCAATGAGATGAGGAACATAACGTTTTAATTTCAGTCAAAGTTAAACATGAAATGTCAAAGTTAATAACAAATGGCCCTTTGAGGGCCACCATAACACTCATGTGGCCCTCAGTGAAAATGAGTTTGACACCCCTGCATTAGAACAACACCCACAGTAGCAAATGAAGTCCTACTTTACCTAACTCAACTGGATTAACACATCTTAGGGGAGGCTGCAGCCAGTGTGGTGATGTTATGTCAGTCTGGTAGGTGGAAAAACCTATCTGACTCACAGCACACTAGAATCTGGGACTGGGCAGTTGCTGCTGTTCCAGTAACTCCAGGACCTGGAGACAAAATGGTCAAAAATACAAATTTGACCCAAGTTTTAGGACAGATATTGACAATAGGTCTGCCTGGAATAACTTCTCTAAATAGAGGATCTGTCTCCCAACCATTTCTACTGTTCTACAGATGGATCCTTTCTGAAGAGGCCAGTAGGTGCAGTGGTGCTCATTTTTCACAACTATAGGGATAGAGAGAGTACAAATACACACTAGATGGTTTTGCAACTGTATCTAAAGTTGAGATATGCAATTCACCAGTGTGTGGCATCTCTCAGACCTTCAGTGTAGCGCAGAAGGAAATATTCATACTAAAAGATAGCCAAGCTTCTATTAGAGCTCTTCAATATCACTAGTTTATTAAATGGAATAAAGTCTACGCCTTCAAATATATGTTCCAGATGTTCGATTCCTTAACTTCTCCAGCCTGGAAAGTTTAACATATTGTTTTGTTGCAGGATGTCAGGATTGTTCCAGATGGGTGTTTGTCTACATGGSAGTAGTGAAGACTTTGTCATTTTCAGAAATTCCCACCATGCTGCCAGAGATGAGCTGATATTAATGCTTTTAAAGCAAGCYTTTCGTTTTATGTTTGCYCTTATAAATGGAAGATCCYAAATCRTAATATTATCGCATAAAGTTTGTTCTATGTCCAGCCAAGTCTCGTCTAGTTGATTAGGTTTTAACCACTTTGAAATATATTGTAATCTATTAGCTAGAAAGTAGTGATAAAAGTTTGGAACCGCTAGCCCTCCGGTATCTTTAGTTTTCTGTAATGATTTTAGGCTAATACGAGGAGTTTTGTTTTTCGGTATCTTTAGTTTTCTGTAATGATTTTAGGCTAATACGAGGAGTTTTGTTTTTCCACAGGAATTTAGAAATGAAGAGTCCAATGATTTAAACCAGTCAGTTGAAGGTTTATTTGGTATCATTGAGAATAAATAATTTATTCTCGGTAGAACCATCATTTCAATATCACTAATCCAAGAGATGCAAAGGTTTGAATAATACCATACAATACCATTCCATGGGAAGAGACCCAGAGGAAACACAGGACACACTGGAGGGACTATGTTTCTCAGCTGGCCTGGGAACGCCTTGGGATTCCCTCAGACGAGCTGGCCCAAGTGGCTGGGAGAGGGAAGTCTGGTTTCCCTGCTTAGGCTGCTGCCCCCGCGACCCGATCCCGGATAAGCGGAAGAAAATGGACGGATGGAATACCACGCCATGTTTGCAATTATTTTGTATCCACTGGCATTCGCTAAAGCTACATGTCACTGTGTGACAGCCACTTGATCATTGCTTTCAGCTCCAACATGCCATGCATATGCATGTATGTGTGTGTATATTATACAGTGGTTTGCAAAAGTATTCATACCCCTTGAACTTTTCCATATTTTGTCACATTACAACCACAAACATAAATATATTTCACTGGAATTTAAAAAATACCAACATGTTTTGTATAGATGAGGCAAATTTAAATTAAGACATTTAAAGAAC